AAAGAGAGAACAACTTATATATATATGCCAAAAATAAGGGTAACTACTATGAAGGGATAAAATATGACTCTAAAAATGAAAAATAAAAATGTTTTTTTTAAAAAAAAAGGGATTGATAAGATGTTGGTTGAAAAAGGGAAAAAGAAAAATAAAAAAAAAACAGTTAACAAAAATTAACTTTGATGAACTAATGAATCATGGTAAAAAAAGGCCATGAATTCTATGTGCAGTATTCCCCTAGCGCTGGAGTTCTCCCGTTCTCCTTGATCGGTAAACTTGGTCTTGGCTTGCTGGCTGTTCATGCTGATCTTCTGGGGGAGGGGCCTGTTGCTGTGGTTTCCAAATGTCTTTGCCGGAGGCTGAATTGCCCCGCCCTTGTCGGTCAGGGCTAAGGAAGCTGCTTGGGTTTGCTCTCAGGAGCTTTTGTTCCCTGCAAGCTCTCGGTACAGCTTTGGAGGATCAGGGTGAAAATGGTGGCCTCCCAATCTCCACCCGGAGGAGCTGAGAACTCGGGGCCCCGCTCCTCAGTGTGCCCCCAGAGAAAAGCAGTCACTCCCGTCTCCCTGGTCTCCAGCCGCACTCCGTGCTCACTCGGCCTGTGACCCAGCGTTGCTATCTCTGGCACCCGACCCCGTGTGGAGTCTCCAAACCCAGCAGATCCCTGCGGTGCGCTCCCGCACCGCTCCTCCCCGGGAAGGAAGGGGCGTCTCCCCGGCTCTGCCGCTTGTTGGGTCCCTGCTGGAGGAGCAGTGGCCCAACTGGGCCGCGGATCACAGTTTATGGCAACCCCGAGCTGAGAACCCGCGCCTCGGCTCCGTCTCAGCAGCTGGCTTCCCCGCTGTGATACCTGGGAGCTCTGCTGCACTCAGGCACCCCCGGTCTTTCTGTGACCCCGAGGGTCCTGAGACCACACTGTCCCGGGAGGATTCCACCCCCTGCTTAGCCACTGCAGCGACGTCCCTCAGCCAAGCCAACTTCTAAAAGGTCCGATTTTGTGCTCGGCGGCTCTACCACTTGCCAGAAGCGGCGGGCGGAGGCCCCTCCCCCGCCATCTATCCTCCCGAATATCGCCCTGGATTCACTTCGCACGTCCTACCTTCCAGGAAGTGGTCGCTTCTCTGTTCAGAGAGTTGTTGCTACTCTCCTCTTCGATCTCCTGTTGAGTTCGTAGGTGTTCAGAATGGTTTGATCCCTATTCAGCTGAATTCCTGAGACCAGGCGAAATCTAGGTCTCCTACTCCTCCGCCATCTTGCTCCGCCTCCTGTTTTTTTCTTTTTAAAGCATTTCTTTCTTTCCTGTAAAACCACCCTGCGAGTTTACTTAAATATCTTCATCAAACTTCGTTAAAGTTCAGCTTAGAGGTATTTAAGAAGTATTGTTTTCATTTCAAATCATAAAATAAATGTTTCTTTGGTTTTGAAACAAGTTACGAAAAAAACGTAAGAATCATGAAAGTCATTTAGCTTCTACGTAACTTTTTCAGATTGGTTTTATTTATTTATTTATTTGAGAGAGAGCGCCAGTGAGCATGAGCAGGGGGGAGGAGCAGAGGAAGAGGGAGTAGCAGGCTCCCTACTGAGCAGGGAGCCCAAATGCTGGGCAATCCCAGGATCCTGAGATCATGACCTGAGCCCACGGCAGACACTTAAGGGACTGAGCCACCCAGGTGCCCCCAGGTTGAATGGTTCTAAGGCATCATAAGATTATATTAAACAGATTTTCAATATTTAAGTTTTTTTTTTTAAGATTTTATTTATTTATTTGAGAGAGAGAGAGTGAGCATGAGCCACAAGTTGGGGGGGGTGGGAGGGGAGACAAGGGGAGAGGCAGACATCCTGCTGAGCAGGAAGCCTGGCATGGGGCTCAGTCCCAGGACCCTGGGATCATGACCTGAGCTGAAGGCAGAAGCTTAAACAAGTGAGCCACCCAGGCGCCCCTAGGTTTTTTTTTTCCTAATATACACAGATTTCAACATTCTTTGTTTCAAATGAGAGATTAAACTGATTTTTTGACTTTTATAGAAAAAATATTTAATACATTTGACCAATATGTTTACCAAACAGAAATATAAATTTCACTCATTTTCCTGGCATAAACAGATGTGTATTTTACTTAGTAAAACTTTATGATTAGATTTCTATTTTTTTTTTAAAGATTTTATTTATTTGACAGAGCTAGAGAGCACAAGCAGGGGGAGGGGAAGAGGGAGAGGGAGAAGCAAACTCTCCGCTGAGCAGGAAGCCCATGGAGGGGCTAGATCCCAGGACTCCAGGATCACGACCCGAGCCAAAGGCAGGTGCTTAACTGACTGAGCCACCCAGGCGCCCCAAGATTTCTATAATCTTTTTAATTTTTGGAGAGAGTGCGCGAGTGGGGATAGGGAGTACGGGGACGTGGGGGGAGGCAGAGGCAGAAGGAGAGAGAATCCCAGGCACGCTCCACGCCCAGCACAGAGCCCAGTGTGGGGCTCCACCTCATGACCCAGAGATCACCACCCAGAGATCAGGACCTGAGTGGAAATCGAGAGTTGATCACTTAGCCACCCAGGTGCCCCAGATTTCTATTATTTTTAATAGTTTTTGGAAAATTGATTTTCCTGACATTTTATCCTCATACTTATTCTAGTCTTCAGACTCTGTAAACAGTGAATATTGAGGTAGATATAAATATTTATAGTTTGGGTAAAAGCACATTTTTAAGATATAAATTGGGTTAGTTTATCTTGTAACTTCTTTTCATGACAGTTTCCTTCTATTCTTAATATTAAAATCATCACAGAAATTATTCAAATTAACTGTTTCATGTACTAATAAACATGTATGATAGTGATATTCATGTTTTCATATAACCTAGGTTTTTTTTCTTTCTAGCTGCATTCCAGTCCATGATGACAGGAGGTAACATAGGAAAGCAGATAGTTTGCATTTCAGAAGAAACCTCTGTGTAATCTGTATAAGCATCTTTATCAAGGAAATATACAGATTTCTTTCCATTTTGCAGAAAGATTTTTAAGATACAATAAAAAATATCTTAGAGTACAGATGGCTTTTTATTTAAATGTGATCCTTGGTAATATTTTCTAGTTGCATAATTTTTTCCTATATCTTCAATATCATATGTGTTCTCTATATCCAACATGATTATTTACAGTAATAGATTGAAGTCAACATGACCTATTTTTCTTTCTTTTAGTAAAACTGATATATGATATTTGATCAGATATTCTGAAACCACTGGAGATTTGATATAAGTGCTTAATGGATCAGCTTAATAAGTCAATTTTTAGTTAATAACTTTTATTTAAAATAGAATGCTTGAGAAGACACATAGTAAATACATGTTGACCTGAAAATGCTTTACATAATTCTTGAACTGTAACTTGGTATAAGAATAGAATTGGGATGGCTTTTCTATATTGTAGATGGAAGAGATTTAATGGCAGAGCATGTGTTGGGGTTTGGGGGGAATTTAGAGCTTGTGGAGCAGTTTTTAGGATAGGAGAGCAGAGGTTTTGTGTTGAGAAGAAAACAGGTCAGTCAGGTTGTTGAAAAAGACTAGTTTATTACAGAGGATTATCTGTTTGTGTTTTGCTAAATAATTTACTGTATAGCCTAAAAACTCAAATATATGTATTGATAAAAGCATGTTTGTTTTAGGTTAGCAGTTACATACTGTCAAATAGTGTAAAGATTTTGAGGGCAAATAGATAAAAACATCACTTGAAGTTTTAAGTGATCAGAAAGATTTAGGCAACAAAGACAGCTTTAGAAAATGACAGGACTGAGCAAATTAACAGTTGGTTGTAAACATGAGTGTTCAAGATCTAATGTACCTCTAAATAAGATGGTTTGTTTCATTAATTATAATCAACCCTTTACAACAATAAAATTGAAGATATTTTTCAAGTGTTGTGCTGGTTTATGGTCACCTTTTTACACCCTGCTATATACTTTTGTCTGCAACATTTGTAGGACGTAGATTCAAACTGTGTGAGTCATCAGTCACTCCAGCTGACCTCAGTGTCCTCTTCTTTTATATACCTTTCCTGGATCATTTCGAGAGCGCTGTATGTTGATAACTCCCAAATCTGCATCTCTATTTCTGACCTCTTACTTGAGCTTAGGACCTCCCAAGTAAAATATCCTGTTGGCACGCGGGATAAACTGTTTATCTAAAGAGGAGTCACCTTCCTCTTACACGTTTCTGCTTTGTTTTTAAATCACCATTGTGCACCCAAACTAATACTCATTCAGATGGCCTGTCATCAGGCCTGTCAACGCTGAAAATGCCTTAGAGAACTCCTTTAATTCCCACTGTCACTATTTTAGTTGAGTTCCTCATCCTTTGGCACACAGCAAGTATTTAAAAATTAGTAATTTCAAAGTCTCAACCGCATAAAGCTCTAACGTGATGGCATCCAGCCTGGAACTCAAGTGTTCTAGCCCCCAGTGTGGGTATTCGAGAGCTCTTTCCATCCTCATATAGGGATCCCAGACTCTAGGGAATTCATATTAGAAGAAAAGTTGTACACCTGAGTCTCAATTCTTACCCTGTCCCGAATGCAATGCAGAACTAGATTCTGCAAGTTCCCTTCTCAGGCAGCGAAGCTTTGAGGTCCTCTTCAGTGAGAACTTCGGTAAATGTTTAAGTAGTGCTCTCTTTCTCGCTGGCCTCCATTGTAACTAGTTCCGCTCTCAGCTGACAGGAAAAACTACCCCATCTGCTGCTGCAAGGAAGCAGTGATGTCACGGCTGGAATGAACTGACCCCGTTTTCGGGCTTCGCAGATCGCCGGGCCCCAAGGCCCGGAATGAACAGGGCTCGGGAGGCCACAGCTCCTAGCGTCCGGAGGCCCGGCCCTGCGCAGACAGCCCGGCCTCCCGCCTCCCTCCATCCCTCCACGCCTCGGGCGGAACCCCGCGCCGGGCCGCCCAGGTCCAGCCTGGGGCGAGCGAGTGGGTGTGAGCGTTGGGGGCCGGCCAAACTTCCTGTCCCGCGCTGCCGCTGCTTCCGGCGGGAGCCGGAAGACGCTGTGTGTGGACGGAATTCGGGACCGCCTTGACGGCTAGCAGGCTGCCCGGGACGGGAAGGTGAGCTCCGGTCTGGGCCAGGCCACACCCGCGCAGCTAGGTGGTCCCCGAGAGGGAGGGAGCCAGTACCGGCTCCTCAGGGGCTCGGGCCGAGTTCGCCTCCGGAGAGGACAGGGAGACCGCCCCCCTTGGGCACCCCTCCCAGATCTGGCGGGCCCGGGAGCGGCCGGTCTGAAGCCCTACGGCTTCGGCCCTTCCCCTCGCGGCGTTGTGGCCGATGTGATTGCTCCTTTGCTTGGTTTTGGGGGTAGGGGCTTAGGAACAAGACGGTCTTGAGAAAGCTGGAGTCAGCAGCGAGTCCCTAAGGGCGGGGGCTGCTGGACTGCACCCGCAGCCGGGCCCTGCCCGCGGGCCTTGGGGCCCTACACCAAGGCCTTTGCAGAGGGGGAAAGAGGATGCCAAGAGGACTCTGCCCTGGATTATTTCATCCCAGAGCTACCCTCTTTCATACGTCCACTTATTTCCTGGGTCTAGAAGAAGGAAGGCTGCCGGCTCTGAGGGGCTTGGCTCCTGGCTTCTCCTTCGCCTGTCATTTCAAGGCGAGGCTGTGGGCTGTGTTTACAGCCTGTATGCGTTCGCCGGTTGAATTTATCCTCTGAAGTTTCTTCAGAGGAAAGAATGGAGTTAGTTTATTAAAGTTTATCCTACTTGCTCATGAGGCCTGAAATGCATTTAGGCACCATTTGGAAGTTAAATATTACTAACCTGGGACTTAAGAATTTGTACTTAATCACTTTGGCACATGGGTCAACGTAACATATTTGCAAGGAGAGTAAAAGAAACATTTTGAAATAGAGTCAGTGGCATTTTGTTGTTAGGGAGTGAGAAATTCCACTTTGTGTTATCTTAGCGTGGACAGAGTAAAGTCAACGGAAGATTTAGGTGCTAATTTTTAAGAATTCTTGCCTTTAAGTACATGTTTGATTTTTGACAAGTTACTTGATCTCTAGTGCTTTTGTTTCTCCTGTGTAGGTGAAGAGGCTTACCTATTTATTCAGCAGATACTTTTTGAATGCTTAGTTTGTTCAAAGCATCATACTAGGTTAATGAGAGTTAGAATGAATAAATTCAACGACCTTAACCAGTGAAAAAGATATGCATGTAGACTAACAGCCAGGGCGGGATGGAATAGTTGCTAAAGAGAGGTGAAACAGTGTGTTGCCAAAAACACCAAAGAAAAGCACAGATTTGTTTTGATTGGAGGGAAAGGATCAGTGTCTTAGTGGAGGATGGCATTTGAGTTGTATTTTAAAGGCTGGAAAGGATTTCAAAATATCACAGCTGGATTGGGAGTGTTTATTACTGGTGGAAGAACTGTTCTAAGCAAAGACTTGAGCACTGAAATAGGCTGGTGTTCATTCCAAAAGCCAGTCCATGGGGGATGGAGTAAAGGGTTAATTGGAGAATATGGACAGTGCTGTAACTGGAACAGTATTTGAGGATATACTGTAGAATATTTGAAATGCCATGCTTAGGAATTTGACGAGTACTCTGAGGCACTGAATTTTGAGTGAGTGGAGTAACATAAGCATTTCTGTTTCGGAAAGATAACTCAAGCGGCTGCATTAAAAGATGGATTGAAAAGGGGAATTTTTAGGACAGGGTGACCAGTTAGAAGCCTATTTTAATAGTGTACTTGAAAGATAATGAGACCTAAACAGGGTATTACAGGAGGAATAAATTTGGGGGAATCAGAACTACTGGGGTTATTTAAATATGGAGGATGAGAGACATTGTTAAAGACCTAGAATTTACAGCTGCGTGGGAAGAAGATTGGGCAATAATTGAAATGGGTAATACAGGAAGAAGAACAAGTTTGGTGGTGGAGATGATAATCTGGATTTTGGACATTGTTAGGTTTGAGATGGATATCCATGGGGAGATAAGCAGTTAGAAATGAAAATTTGGAGTTCAGAAGAGAGGTCAGGAGTAGAGACAAAAATTCCGGTATTTGCATGTCATTCATTACTCTACAGATATTTATTCAGTGCTTACTAGGTGCTTGCAGGGAAGTTTGTATGGAAGCCCTTAAATCTCACAGTAAAGCCAAGAGAGCTTCACAGTATCAGAAATGACTCTTGGAGGCCTGAATTCCTTATGAATTACATAATACTTTGCCAGGCACAATGCTAGGTAGTGGAAGGTAAAGTTGTGACCAAGACAGACTAGTTCCTGCCCTTGTTTATGGAGCTTACAATTTACAGGGTATCCAGACAAAAAATGAATGCTATATAAAACCAAAGGAATTAGAAACAGCAAGACACCTGGGTGGCTCAGTCAGTTAAGTGTCTGCCTTCGGCTCGGGTCATGATCCCAGGGTCCTGAGTCCCACGTCAGGCTCCTTGCTCATCCGGGAGCCTGCTTCTCCCTCTACCTGCCCCTCCCTCTGCTTGTGCTCTTTCTCTCTCTCTCTGTCTGACAAATAAATAAAATCTTAAAGAAAAAAAAGGAATTAGAAACAGAGATAGAGAATAAAGGTGGAAGTATGGGGAGTCTTTGGATAAGACGATCAGAAAAAGCCTCTCTAAATGAGTTGATAGTTAAGCAGAGCCCAGAAGAATGAAAAAGAGCTAACCAATGGAGAGAAAGGTAAAAGCGTTCCAAGGTAGAGGAAATGACATGTGCACATCCCTAACATCAGAAAGAGCTTAATTTGTTCAAGGAACTAAGATGGCTGAAGCTTGGTGAGCACATAAGGGAGACTGACTCTTGAAGTGTGGTTGGAGAAGCACGAGTGGATCACATAAGGTTCTCACAGGCTAGGATAAGGGGTTTGGATTTTGTGTAGGTGCATTGGGAAGCCAAGTAAAGAGTTTCAAGCAGGTGAATGATATAATAGAACTCACATTTTAAGATGCTATTTACTACTGTGAAGAGAATAGAATGGATGGAGGCAAGAGTAGAAGCAGGGAGACCAGTTAGGTGGCACTAACAGTAGTTTAGGACAAGTATTGATGGTGGCCTGAAATAGGGTGGTGACAGTAGAGATAGAAGTAGGTGGATTTGATGTCTCAGTAGGACTTGCAGCTGGACTGGATATTGGGAGCAAAGGAAAGAAAGTAATAAAAACGACTCCTAAATGGGGTGAACGGTGGTCTCGTCTTGAGTAGAGGGTTGTGGTGAGTGGGGCTGGCAGGGTGTGATGGGAAACAGGCTTGGGAGAGAATTCATTTTGGACATGTTAAATTTGAGATATCAAATTAAAATGTTAAGTAGAGATGTCGGGTAAGCAATTGTATATGCAAGTCTGCAGCTGAAAGGAGGTATCTGGGCTGTAGATAAAAATTTTGGTGATGAGCTCCAGGTGTTGTATAGAAGTGTTGAATAACTATTATATACGTGAAACTAATATTGCACTGTATGTTAACTAATTGGAATTTAAATAAAACCTTAAAAAAAATTGAAGACTGTATCATTTAAAGTCATAAGTTTACACTAGGAGGAGAATGTAGCAAGAAAAGAGAGCCTGAATACTATCCTGAGGAATATTAATATTTAGAGGCTGAGTACAGGAAGAGTATAGGAGTTACCAAAGGAAACTGGAGGAATGGCAATGATGTAAGAGTAAAATGAGGAACATGTATCTTGGAAGCAGAGAGTATAAGTGTTGGAGGAAGGAGGCAGTGCTTCTAAGGGATAATACCAGTTATGGCTCTGTTTGCAAGTGACCAGTTTGCTTCAGAAGAGGAATTTATAGCAAGGATGTGGGCAGCTCATGGGATCAAAGGAAATGATGAAGGCCCTGGCTTCATGAAGGACAGGAATCGGAGCAGCTCTAGGGGAGGCTGCTAGCAGCATTACTGGCATGAAAGGGCTGCTGCAGCAGTTTTCAGCCCTTTGTTACTTCTTTGAGAATTCACATTCTGAGGAAGAGTGTCTGATTTGTTCAATATGGGTCAAGTGTCCAACAGTTGGCCAGTGAAGAAAAGAACACCTTAATCTATAGTCTCAACCAGGGATGTATCCAGTTTGGGAGGGGTGGATCCCCAGACATAATGTAGATCTGTCACCCAGGCAGCAGAAATGAATGTGTGACAGTTAAAAACAATAGTTCATTACAAAGGTCAAGTAAGATTGGGGCTGTTAAGTGTCCCTCCAATTTGGTAACATGAAGATCTTTGGTAACCTTTATAAGAGAAGCTTTGGTGAAGTGATGGGATTGGGTAGTGATTGGAGATTTGAAGGTGGAGACAAGTCTCTTGATAAATTTGGCTCTGAAGGATTGAAGAGAAATGGGGAGGTGACTGGAATAAAAATGAAGGCTGTGGGAATGGAACACCTCAGCAGATCCTGGGAAGGAAGAGGGAAGGCCCAGGATGAATCCTATAGTTTCTAAGATTCATTCTGGCTTCACAGTTCTCTAATCCAGATTTCTCTCACTAGTACCTATTATCACTTTGTTCTTAGAATTTAATCAACGTCCATAATATGCTAGATAGGGATATAAAAAGTTACTTGGGCTTTTTTTTTTTAAGATTATTTAATTGTCAGAGAGAGTGCACGCACAAGTAGGAGCGGTGGGCAGAGGGAGAAGCAGGCTCTCCTGCTGAGCAAGGGGCCTGATGCAGGACTTGATCCCAGGCCCCTGGGATCATGACCTGAGCGGAAGGCAGATGCTTCAAGGTCTGAGCCACCCAGGCGTCCCTAGGTACTTTGTTTTTCTTTCCCTAGGAATTTTTTTTTTTTTAGATTTTATTTATTTATTTGTCAGAGAGAGAGAGTGAGTACAAGCAGGGGAGCTGCAGGCAGAGGAAGAAGCAGGCTCCCCACTCAGACACTTAACCCACTGAGCCACCCAGGTGTCCGGTCCCAGGACTACTGTTTTATACCAAAATTTAAACTGTTCTTTTCTTTTCTTTCTTTTCTTCTTTCCTTCCTTCCTTTTTAAAAGATATTTTATTTATTTATTTGACAGAGAGCGAGAGAGGGAACACAAGCAGGGGGAGTGGGAGAGAGAGAAGCAAGGCCTCCCGCTGAGCAGGGAGCCGGATGCTGGGCTCTATCCCAGGACCCTGGGATCATGACCTAGAGTCGAAGGCAGCCTCTTAACAATTGAGCCATCCAGGTGCCCCAAACGGTTCTTTTTAATTTTAATTTTAATTTTAATTTTAATTTTTGAGCATGGTAATTCCCTACCATTAGTAGAATTTTTGTTTTAGTTTTTTTCATCTTCAGTGAAGCATTGTTTGGGTCTATATTTGTGGTCAGCCACAGGTAGGTATGGAGGGAACTGAGAAGCAGATTGGTTACCAATTGGGGGGACCACAGTGTTTCTCAATTTCTTCCCTCTTTTTTCTCACTCCCCCCCCTTCTTTCTGAAAGTGGGCCAAGGTCAAGGCATTTTCTACCTCCCTAAAGTAAGAGCAGTACTGATATTCTAGGCTTTGTTTTCCTAGGGTGGAATCACATTGCTTTTGGGGAGAAGTTGACACAATGATGTTCTGTTTCTTTCTTGAGGCAGAGCAGTAAAAGCCCCTGTTCATCTTTCCTTTTGGAATACACTCCCTTCTGTATGGCAGTCAGGACTGAGGCAAGATACCGCCTGTATCAGCTCTGTTCTCCTGTTGCTTGTTTAGTTTATTTTGGCTTGGTTCTCCCACCCAGTATTTCTCCATGTAGCCTGCATTAGTTTTAGGCCATCTCTACCCTCCTAACTTGGTGTTACCACTAATTCCTGTCTTGTGTAAGGATTCAAGTAATTTCAGTTTCCCCAGGACTCTGATCAATGATAATTGCTGATTGTAATATATGTGTGTATGTATATATGTGTGTATATATATGTATACATATATATAGCAGGTTTATATCAATGGCTTTATGTTTTTTTTTTTTAAAGGTAGGATTTTTTTTTTTTTTTTAAAGATTCCATTTATTTATTTGACAGAGAGATAGAGAGCACAAGTAGGCAGAGTGGCAAGCAGAGGGAGAGGGAGAAGCAGGCTCTCTGCTGAGCAGGGAGCCGGACATGGGGCTCGATCCCAGGACCCTGGGATCATGACCTGAGCCGAAGGCAGCCGCTTAACCGACTGAGCCACCCAGGCGCCCCCAATGGCTTTATGTTTTATGGCTGAGTCTCTTTTTAACATATGTATTTTAGACTTTTGAAGATATTTTATACTGTTTTTCAGTCTTTGGGATGTAATCTGTTAAGTAGCTTTTGAGATCAGTTTAGTGAGTTTTAGTTTTAAAAAATCAGAGTACATGAGATTAGCATAGGCTAGTATTGTTTCATGAAAATGTGTTACTTGTATGTGTCTTAGTATTTCACTCTCTGGGGTATGATGGAAAATGTATCTTACTGTGATTTTCAGTCAAAATGTTTGAAAACCACTGCTATATAGGGAATTTGGACAGTAATAAAAGGCAGATTTCTTTTCTTTCTTTCTTTTTTTTTTTTGATTTTATTTTAAGTAATCTCTACACCCAACGGGAGGCTGGAACTAACAACCCCAAGATCAAGAGTCACACACACTACCAACTGAACCAGCCAGGCGCATTTCTTAATATTCTAGAGTATACAGAGCATTTGAAACATTTACTTGTTTCTTTTTTTTAAAAGATTTTCTTTATTTATTTGAGCAAGAGAATGAGCTAGAGAGCAGGGAGTGGTGGGGGGGGAGGAAGGGCAGAGGGAGAAGACTCCCCACTGAGCAGGGAGCCCCATGCGACTCCCAGGACCCTGGGATCATGACCTGAGCTGAAGGCAGATGCTTAACCAACTGAGCCACCCAGACGCCCTATTTACTTGTTTCTTAAGCACTTATGCAGAGCTTTGTTTCTGAAGAATTTTTTAATTATGTCTATTGACTGATACATAAATAATCCTAGGGTAGATTTGTTTCATCTGTATTTCAGATGAATTTCCTAGGGCCCAGAAGATGAGTAGCCCGGCTAGGTCTCAACCAAAAAGTCAGAGGCAGAATTTGATTTCTGTTTTAGAGACCTTGGATTTTTTTTTTTTTTAATAAACATATCTCAGCTTCTTTATTTAACTTGTTCAGCTACTTAATGTTAATGCATAATTTGCTGGATGATATTGAGTGTACTGTAGAAGAAGAATGCAGTTAATCAGACTTCAGTTCTCAGGATTTGTTTATTTGGCTAAAAACAGAAGGAGAATTGTTCTCAGGATGGTCTAGATCATGGAGATTGCTATTGTCTTAAATCGGCTTTACTTTTGTTATGAGTTCTTTTGTTACAAATTTACGGAACTTTTCAGAGCTTCTTGTGTTCTTTGCTTTGGTTCATTGCAAAGGTTTGTATTGCCTGCATTCTTTTTAACCTTTAGGCTGACTATGGGATAACATATTAACATTTTCTGCTTTTATTAGCTGTTAACATAATAGCATTGGCAGGGTTAGTGGATTTCTAAAAAACAGAATTTCTGCTAGACCAAGGTAATTTTCTGTAAGCAGTCTAATGTGCTTTGGTGGCCATAAGGAACCATGCACACAGTAGAATCCTGTTGTTGCCAAGAGTAGAGGAAGAAAAGGGTCTGACTAGAACTACTTATTTCATATTTATTAATAATATTTATTAGACCAATCCTTGGGTGTCTGAGATCATTTTGTTTTGTTATGAACTCTATCCACAGCCAAGATGCCTTATTTATGATTTGTGGAAAATACGATTTGACCTTGGTTGCTGATAGTTAAATATCATTATCTCTTATTATTGGGCTAAATTAGTAATTTTTCTAATTTGAAAGGAAAGGGTATAAATTTTGCCTGTCTACCAGGTAAAGATACAAAAAAACCAAAACAAAACAAATATTCATGTTCACATTCAAGAATTTGGGGTGACCACTCAGTATTGCATTTCTAGTCTCTTAATTAATAGCATAAGAAAGCCTGGGAAGAAATCTCCTTGAGACCCATAGTTAACTTAAAAATAGCTTCCTTTTGGGGCACCTGGATGGCTCAGTTAGTTAAGTGGCTGCCTTTGGCTCAGGTCATGATCCCAGGGTTCTTGGGCTCAAGCCCCACATCAGGCTCCCTGCTCAATGGAGAGTCTGCTTCTCTCTCTGCCTGCTGCTCTGCCTACTCGTGCTCTTTCTCTATTTCTCTGTCAAATAAATAAATAAAATCTTAAAAAAAAATAGTTTCCTTTTGAGTAAGAGCCGTGCCTTTCACTCCACTGTCATGCAAATTGCATTTAAAGGAAGAACATTGCATGGGACACTATATTGGCCCCCATACTGGCAATTTTTTATTATGATTACTCTAAATATACTTTGACATAAAGCTAGGTAGTAATTCTCATCCTTCTATGCTGAAGCTCCCAGTAGCTCTTAATCAACTAAAATCAAAACTAAGTTTACAAATAATTCAATAATAACAGTGGTAGGGTCAGTGGATTTTTTAAAAAAAATTAACATGCTGAACCAAGATTGTTTCCTTTAAGCAGTCTAATATATATTTTTAATTGATGAATAGTTGACATACAATGTTAAATTAGTTTCAGATGTACAACATAATGATTTGACAATTTGACACATTACCACAATTTGATACACTACTCATTGCTCACCAGGATAAGGGTAGTTACCATCTGCCACCATACAAATTCATTACAGTATTAGCAGCCTGATGTTTTGATGGCTCTAGGGAACCATGCAGGTAGTACAGTTTAGTTATATCAGTTGCCATGATTTATATCTTTATGAATAAGTATACAGTTGTAAACCACACCATAAACAAAATTCAAAATACCATTCATATTATTTGGTAGGGATGTCGTTTTGCTGAAATGCAGTACTTAATGTTGAACTTAATAGTGGAAAGATTTACCCTTGGATTCAATAATATATTTCCTCTGTTTCTACATTTTAACTTTAGTAATACTATGCAGAGAATATCATACAAGGTATGTATTTTAAAGTGTTAAGACATTGTTAAGCAGCATGTGATAATGGGATCTCAGGTGTAACCAAAACTGACTACAAGTCCTTGAATGCCAATTTTAATGTGGTATTGATAGAGGTATTGTCAGAGTTAGAGTTGCCTTGTTCAGATGAAGATAAGATTTGTGTTGCAAATGAGAACACAGAATGGGAGGAAGTTTGTGCAAATCAGATATCTGATAAGGGGCTTGTATCTAGAATATATAAAGAACTCTTACAATTCAATAATAAAAGGACAACTCAATTTAAAAAATGGGCCAGTGATCTGAATAAGTATTTCTCCTAAAAAGATGTACAAGTGGTCTATAAACACTTGAAGAGATGCTCAGTATCATTAGCCATCAGGTAATGCAACTCAAAACCACAATGAGTTACCATTCACACCTACTAGGAGGGCTATAATAATGTGTTGGTGAGAATGCAGAGAAATCCACTGCTAGTGGGATTGTGAAATGGTGCAGAAAACAGCCTGGTAATTCCTCAAGAGGTTAAACATAGAGTTAACATATGACCTAGCAATTACACATCTAGGTGTATATCCAAAAGAGTAAGAACATATGTCTACTCAAAAACTTGTACATGAATGTTCATAGCAGCATTATTCATAATAGCCAAATTGTAGAAATAATCAAATGTCCATTAAGTGGTACATGGATAAATAAAATGTATATCCATACAATAGAGTATTATTGGCAATAAAAAGAAATTAAGTACTGATTCATGCTACAAGATGGCTGAACCTTGGGAGAATTATGCTAAGTGATAGCAGTCAAGCACAAAAGATCACATGTATAATTCCATTTATATGAAATGTTTAGAATAGGCAAATCCATAGAGATAGGAATTAGTGGTTCCCTCGGCCTGGTTGGGGTGAGGTTTGGGAGGAAATGGGGAGTGATTGCTGATAGGTACAGGTTTTCTTTTTTGGGGTGATGAAATTGTTGTAAAATTGATTGTGGTTGTGGTTGCACAACTCTGTGAATATACTAAAGACAATTTAACTGTACTCTTTAAATGAGTGAATTGTATGGTATATGAATTATATCTCATTGAAGCTGTTATTTAAAAATTGCATTGCAGTTTTTGAAACCTGTTAAATGATAATGGGAATTGAGGATAGAAACAAATTTAATTGCATATTTGCCATCACACTTCCGGCTGATATACATAGCGAGTTGCTGTGTTAAAGGTGAGATTCACACAGTATACTTGATAAGGTACTGCCTGCCTGTGCTACTCTATCCTACCTACTAGTCTCTCTTTAGTTTAGTACACATACAAACCACAAACATGGGCAACAAATTTGGGGAGAACTCAGTTATAATATGGATACCTATTTGTTCCAGAAAATGCTTGTGTTATTTTTTTGAAAAATTATCACTGAAATGAAGACACTAAAATAAACAGATATAAGATATCATAGATAACCATGGACCCTTGAGAAATGGTGATCTAGAGGTGGCTCTTAAACTATAAGAGAGGTGGCAGCTTCCTTCTTTAAATTTTATTACAGCTTTGCAAAAGTATCTAAGATCTAGTATATGATTTTTCCCTCGTCCAGTGCATATATTCATAAACTTCATTTTTTTTTTCATTTTTCATTGGGTAAGGATAATGGAAACGCAGGGAGCATCATTGGTTTCTAAGAAACCTAACAAATATAAAGGGCAGCAAATAGTTGTTTAGTTTCCTAGAGATTTTACATCCCTGGAAACTCAAGAGTTTGAGGAACCTTAAGAATAACCTAAACAAATATTTGGTTATTTCTTGGCTTCTTGAGATGACCTGGAATTGGGGAGAAGGAATTCTTAAACCCTGGTGTTTCAAGGTCAGACATAGATGTAAGTAGATAGGTGTAATCACTATTCCATGCCAACCTGCTCTGTGGGTGGGAGTCCTGGTTCTGCAACTTAATAACTTGAGCAAGTGATGCACTGAACCTTGGTTCCTTCCTCTGTGGAAAAGAGGGATGAATAAACAACATTGTACTATTATGTATAGAGCTTGAATAAGAAGAACGTAGGGGAAAAGTCAGAGATTTATGATACTTGATTTTAAATCATGTGGGAAACTTAAAAGGACACTTTCATTTACATCTTGTGAATTGTTATTTTTTTATGATGAAAGTGAGGATTTCTGGAAGCTAGCAAGGGGGAGAGGAAGGAACCAACAGGACAATAAACATTTATTCAGGAACTTCTAAATGCCTTTTTTGTAGAGTAAGCCTGCCTTGTTCTAACTTTCCAGTTACTTTGGTGTTAATTGAAAACTCCTATCCGGGTACATTTTACACTGTGTAATTACTTTATATATGGCAGAGCTCCCAATTTTAGCACCAATTGTACAAAATACAGTGGACTCTTTTGTCAAAAGTCTGAAAAAATTAAGCGATAAGAAAGTAAGAATTTTAATTATGGGGGGAGAACAGTTACATCAGGGTCCCAAGGGTACTACTTTTGGGAAACACTGTTCATATTTTGACTGTATAACTACTTTTAGAAAGATGAGGAAATTGAGAAAAGAAAAATAAGTCATACCAGCCTGCCACCTAATATAGTTATTATCATAGTTGTATTAATTTCCTTTTACTTTTTTTCTGTTCATATCTTAATTAGTTTTAATAGCAAGTATATAATTTTGTATTTTGTTTTTGTAATTTAACATGTCATTGGCACTTCTTGTTGCATTATTTTTATAACCATATTTTTAAGTGACAGTGCCATAATCTAATTAGCCATTCCCTAAGTGTTGGGCATATATGTGTATTTATATCTTGCTTGCAGTTGTTTATTATTATAGATGCTAACATTAAGTTCTTTGGGCATATACTTTTTCTGTTTTTAAGACCTTTTAAAAAATAGATTATTGGAAGTAGAAATTCTACAAAGTACAACTTTTAATGGATTTTGACATCTATTGGGCTTGTTCTATTTTAAAACAAGTGTTTTGGGCTGACTTCTTTATTTGTTTGCTTGTGATTTTCAGATATGTGGAGACGTGCCTTTATTTATTTAGCTACATTTTTCTACTCCTCTGATTCTCTCTCTCTCTCATCCTTTTTTAGGCTAAATTGATTACCCACCCAGCACAGCATCTTACAGGAAAAGCATAGCATTTCCTAGAGGAATATGAGCATAACAGGAAGGTGTCGTTGACTCTGAATTAAATTTTTAACCTGTCCCTGAACAGCTACAGGATTTGGAAGCTGAATCAATGTTATCAGATGAGTTAGAATCCAAACCAGAGGTGAGCCCAGGCAGTGCTATTTATTGATTGATTGATTGATTGATTGATTGTGGGCTATCTTCCGAGGTTTGTCTTTAGTTCAGGAAGTCAGTAAACTTCTGTAATGAGCCAGATAGTAAATATTTTAGGTTTTGTGGGCCATATGGTTTTGGTCATAACTACTAGTTTATTACTTTTTCTATCACTAAGTACTTTTTCAAAGATTTAAAAACTCTTTTTTACCTATAGCTTTTTATGTTTAAGTAAGTATAAGTTCTTATACATCTAGGTAATTACATAATGACAAAAGTTTTATATATATGTGGCATATGTGGATATGTATATACATATATAAATATTTACTACCACAACCATTTTTCAGTTAATTTTGTATGTATCTGAAAGTGTTTTCTTTCTAAATGCAATTAGAGGATTTAAATATTATTTATTTATTATTTATTTTATTTTCATTTATTTTTTTAAGTAGGCTCCATGCCTAGTGTGGAGCCCAACATGGGGCTTGAACTCACGACCCTGAGATCAAGACCTGAGCTGAGATCAAGAGTCGGAGGCTTAACTGGCTGAGCCACCCACGTGCCCCTAAACATTTTTTTATTTTTATTCATTTCTCTTCCTTTAATTTTAGTACATCTGTGTCACATAGTGGAAAGGTCAATGAATTTGGAATCAGATTAAGTTTGAAGACTTACTTCCCCTACTAGTCATGTGACCTTAGATAAGTCATTTGATGTCTTCAACTTGATTCCTTATCTTTATTTATTTTTTATATTCCTTATCTTTAAAATACATGTTCAATCTTACTGGGTTAAGGTGAGGATTAAATGAGCCAATATAATACAGCTTTTCTTTAGAACAGAGCACTTGATAAAAATAACTTTAAATGTTATTTTGTAGTTAATTTAGTTTTTCTGTGAATGTGGTTGAGACTAGTAAGCAATAAAGACTTAATTACGCTGTGAACTTTTGGTAAGTTCAGAGGTTTAGATTCATTCCTAACAACTTGTGTTTTTCAATATTGTCTCTTCCTCCTCTCCCCCCCAACCTCCCAGCTCCTGGTACAGTTTGTTCAGAATACGTCCATCCCATTGGGACAGGGGCTAGTAGAATCAGAAGCTAAAGACATTACTTGCTTATCCCTCCTTCCGGTGACTGAGGCCTCAGAATGCAGTCGGCTAATGTTACCAGGTAAAAATTAAGGTTACAAGAAATAAGATAAGCAAGTTTTAAGAGCTTAGCCTCTTCTATCATACTGGTGGGATGGGATAAATGACTTTATAACTGACTTGTAGAAACTGTAAAAACTAGGAATCATGAAGAATAAGCAACCATAGGAGTTAACAAGTGCATTGGTAATTTAAGCCATAGTAATGGATAGGATCATTCATAAAATGTGAGAGTGAAAAGAAAAGACCAATGTGGAACCTCCTATTCAAGGTACAGGGTAAAGCAGGAGAGCCTATGAAGGAGGGAAAAAGGAAAGGCTAGAGCAGTAAGAGAAATACTGGTACAGAGTGCAGGCATGGAACTCAAGAGAATAGTCACTATGTCAGATGCTTCTAAGAGGCCCATGAGATAGGGACTGTCCCAATGAGATAGGGCCAACATTGTTGACGTTGGCAGGACCTGTTCCATGGAAAGGTAATGGAGAAGCCAGGTTGTAGAGGGTTGAGGTATCAGTGCAAGGTAAGTATAGTTGAGGAAGTAACCACACTTTCTCAAGACTCTCCTGCTATGGGAAGGAAAAAGAGAAGGACATAAAGTAGATGGCAGAATTCTTTTTTAAGATCAGAAATATTTGAGGATGGTTTTATGCTAAGAGGAAAGAGCCAGTTGGAGAGGTGCGAACAGAAAGAGTGGCTAATTAGGGGGGAGGCTCTAGGAGAGGTAGGAGGAACTAGAATGCTGATCATGAGTTGTGAGATTAACTTTGGATGGGGAGAAGGAGATCCTATCCCTTGACTGTTAGCAAGGAGAACATTATTTTTGGGTGCAATAAGTTTCTTTCTGGAAATTGGAATATTTAAAATTTGGAATTCTGATGTTAAATCAGGGGAGGGGAGGGTCACCACCTATTGGTGATTGGTGACAGCTTATAAAGTCTTCTAGTTACTGTTATCTAGTGATGTCCTGTTTCTTTGATTTTTTTTTTTGAAGTGACTTTAAAATTTTTTTCAATGTTTAAAGATTCAAGAAGGACAGATACATTCAACCAACTAGTGTTGACTTAAGGTTTCCCTGTTTAGTTCCTAGCTTTCACATATCTTCTGTCGTTCAACTCCGATTTTTCTACTGGTACGTTGGAGTTTTTCCACATCTTACGGATTTTCAATATATGTACATTTCCATGTGCAAATGAATTTTGATCTTCATTGGGCTTAAATTTTTCTCTCCCTATTTTAATTTGTTGAATAAATATTTTAACAATATTGAAATGAAAAGAAGAACAAAATCATCAATCTTCTTTTCTACATTAACTTTAGTTTTAATTTTGATTAAAAATATTTTATTTTATTTTATTTTTAAAGTTTTTGTTTATCACCCACTGTGGGGCTCAAACTCACAACCCCAAGATCAAGAGTCTCATGCTCTTTTTGATCGAGCCTGCCAGGTACCCTGAGTAAAAATATTTTAGATAACCAATATCAGTAATAATAAGTGAAAACCCATGTACTCACCTCCCAGCTCATGAAACATAATATTACAAACACAAATGTATCTGCACATACATCCCTAACTTTATTCCCCTCCCTCTTAAATATGTGTGTATCATTCCATGCATGGCCGGTATGTTTTCTTTTTAGTTGGGATTTGTGATAGATACAGAAAAGTATAAAACCCTGTGCTTATACATTTCGAAGAATTATTATAAAGGAGATCCCCACCACCCAATCAAGAAGTAGAACCTTGCCAGCTCCCAAACCCCCCTGGGTTCCTCCTGGATAAAGACAGCCTGTGTTCTTCATAGGTCACCGCTATCCTCAATTATTTGACCGATATTTGTTTCCCAAGTTTAACCACTGAGATCGAAGCAATGCAGTTTAATCTTAGGTGTTTTTAGACCTTGGAATCATATGAATGTATATTGTTGCACCTTTCTTATGTTACTCTGTAGTTGTGAGATTCATCCTTGTGTGTATAGCTGTGGTTGGTTTCATTGCCGTATAGCGTTCTGTTACATGAGTGTAACCACAGCTTCTTTATCCATGACACTGTTAATGAATATTTAGTTATTTTCCAGTGTTTTACTATGACAAACAGTACTGCTATGAAATTCATTAAAAACTTTTTGTGTATGATAAAATATACATAACTAAAGATTTGCCATTTAAACCAGTTAACCATTTTAATCACATAAACTTACGATTTAACCAGTTCTGTGACATTAAGTACATTCATATTGTACTATTTCATTAGACTTTGAAGTGGCAGTACTGTCTATCCCTAGGCTTCCACTTTCATTCCTATAATATCTGTTAACTTCCTTAAAAAAAGGAAAAAAATTATCTGCCTTTTATAAAGATGACTGAAACCCCTGAAAACATTGAGTGCTTTAGCACTGTAGTGCAATTCCTTGTTTTATTGCAAACCAAAACCTTTGGAAAGTCATTCCTTTCCTTAGAGTAAAGTCCTAGAGAGCGAGTCTTCTGAATTATTTCTTTACATTTTAGTGTAAACCTGGAAGTATAATGAAACATATTTATGATTCTATAAAATTTCAGTGATTTCTCAGGCTGTGGTTTTTTTCCCCCTAATGACTCAATAGAACTGTCACATACATGCTATAAAAATTAAAGGGAGGGATAATAAGAAAAATAATAATTTAAAATTTAGATCCTATTCTTGAGTTAGTATTCATTGTATAACTATATTTTTTGAGGGAAAAGTACTGATTTCTGACCTCAAAAGGACAAAGGCCTGTGATGTCCAAATGTGGATGGTTGGTTGGTTGGTTGGCACATCCAAATGTCAAATGAGTTTGTCCCTCACATTTTGGCTGACTCCCTTTAAAACTTTAAGTTATATCTCTGTTCTCTTCTGAGGGAAATTTTGTATTTGTAAAATAAAAAGGCTGCTGCTCCTAGAAGGGATGTGTTAAGGGTGTTCGGTGCCGTGTATCAGAATGGTGAGCTCCGTGGAGAGAGGTGCCACATAAAGCCGTGGTCTTTTCCCTTTGCTAGATGATACTCCAAGTCATACAAACTCCTCCAAGGAGGTTCCTTCCTCGGCTGTGTTGAGAAGCCTTCAGGTGAATGTGGGCCCAGACGGAGAGGAGACGAGGGCTCAGACTGCACAGAAGTCCCCGGAGTTTTTGTCCACTCCAGAGTCTCCCAGCTTGTTGCAAGATCTACAGCCAAGTGATAGCACTTCTTTTATTCTTCTTAACCTAACGAGAGCAGGTATTCTTTATCTTTTTCCGAACTCTGCTCATGGTTAAGAAAAAAACTGGGGAGGAGGCATATTTAACCCAATCATACTTAAAATGGAAAGAAGCCTTATTATTTATTTTAGAGAATTGGTATAGTCTGGTGATAAGTTGAATGTGTAGGGGGAGAAGGCAGACTTTAGGAAGAAGTTTCTTGTTTGGGAAATTAGGTTGTGCCATTCAGCAAGATAGTGAGCCCAAGAACAGGGTTGGGGGGGAGGATGATTAGTTCCAGTATGTGCTTGTTGATGTTGGGATTTCAGAGGGACATTCATGAGGAGGTGTCCTTTAGAGAGTTAGAAACAGGAATCCAGAGTTCTAGAAATGTCTTGTGTAAAATAAGTTGTTTTGGTGCTTATCAGCATTCAGGAAATGTATGAAACAGTGAACATGAATTCTTTGATTCAGGAGCATAAAACAGAAAAGAAGGCAAATCTGGACCCCTGGGAAAAACACATTTAAGAGGGGACTAACAGAAGAGTGGGGAGGAGCTGCCAGAGAGGGATAAAGAAAACAGAAGGAGAGTGCTATGCTAGAAGCCAAGAGAGGGAAAATGTCTTAAAGAAGAAAAGGTAGTAAATCATGCCAAATACCACAGGAAGGACTAGTGAGGTGAGGACTGGGGAGTGTATGTCTGGTGACGCGAGCAAGAGCAGTAGTTACTGAGGTAGTAGAGGTGGAGGCCAGGGTTCTAACCATGGTGGGGACTGGATGACAGATGAGAAAGTGGCTGTCTGAGTTAGAAGTTACGCTTGCAGGAAACTTGACTGTGAGACAGTAAATAGCTAGAGAAGTACTTGGGATTTTTCTCTTCTTTTTAAAAATAAAGATGGGCGAGACAGATTTAAAGGCTCTAAGGGGAGGTTGTAAGGTGGCCAGTAGAGAGGAATGGCTTGCAGATGGTGGAGAAATGACTGAAGGATAGGGTCAGGATACTAGCTTGCTTGCCCTGGGGGGACAGCTTTGCCTCTGAAACCAGAGGAGGTAAGAAAGAGAAGCCTGTTGTCCGGGAGTGGAAAGGTGATAGATAACCTAGTGTGGTAGGAGAACAGAAGCTTGAGGTGAGAGGTGAAAATCTGGAATAGCTGATACAGGCCATGAAGTATCCGAACCAGGGCCGATAGAAGGGCAACTTGTTGGGTAGCTTTCACATATCCTCTTGTTTCTTCCAGGTCTGGGCTCTTCAGCCGAGCACTTAGTATTTGTACAAGATGAGGCAGAAGATTCAGGGAATGATTTCCTCTCCAGTGAGAGCACGGACAGTAGCATCCCATGGTTCCTCCGGGTTCAGGAGCTGGCTCATGATAGTCTGATTGCTGCTACTCGCGCACAGCTGGCAAAGAATGCAAAAACCAGCAGCAATGGTGAGACCCCTGTGACGTTTTCACTTCCTGTATTCTCTGTGGGGATTTTGGCAATAGAATGACCATATTTTGAGTTGACTGGAATCTGAGTTATTGGTGAGAGCAGGCAGCTAGAAATGTGTACACTGTCTTATTTTCTATGAAATAACTTAGCTATGCCAGATTCATGTGCAAAATCAACACTAGCATTCTCAATTGTCAGCTTTAAATAATGTACACAGCCCCTTTAAAGGGAAAACAAGATGTTATCTTGAATTGTTTTTATTGTACTGTTCCCTATACTTAGAGCTTTTATACCATTATAAAATCAAAACAGTATTACCAATTAATAGGAATAAAACTACAAAACCAGTGAGAATAAAGTTAATATTTTATTTTGACAGACGATGGTGTTTTGCTGAAACTGCCACTGCTGCCTTTTCTTTTGGAACCAGTTCATCATATGACCTTAAATATCCAAACAGTCTGTAGGGCTGTTTCCTTTGAGTTCAGCATGCCTGTACTAACTCTGTGCCACTTTTCTCTATCCAGTAGTTTTCAGATATAGTCCTTAAATCATCAGCATCACCAAGGAACATAGAAATACACATTCTCAGGCCTCATCCTACTGAACCAGAAACATGCGATCTTTTAGTAAGCCCTCTCAGTGGTTCCAATACATGTTAAAGCTTGAGGACCGTGACTGTAAGCCACCCCTAAACCAGTGCACAACCTTTGCTTATGTAACATGCCCTAATACTTTTTGTTTTAGAGCAGCTTCTATATTTTCTCTTTAATCTGTGACAATTAAGGTACTACAACAAATTATTAAGGTTAAGGTACACACTGTCATCACAAACCAAGCTTAAGCGCTGAAATCTTATGTTGGTACATGGCTGTTTAGAGCTCATTTGGATGATCTAGAATATGCTTATGATTATTTTGTGATTACCATGCAAGTGAAAATAAAAAATTAAAAACTTTCACAAGGATCCGTGTGAATATTTCAGAATATTCCAGTTTTAGAAACATTAACCTAAATCTTTTCTACATAGAGAACTCCAAACTTCTTTTTTTTTAGGTTTTAATTTAAATTCCACTTAGTTAACATACAGCATAATATTAGTTTCAGGTGTACAATATAGTGATTCAACACCAGGTGGTCATCACAAGTGCAGTCCTTAATCCCCATCACCTATTTCATCCATCCCTCACCCACCTCCCCTCTGGTGACCATCGGTTGTTTTCTATTAGTAAGAGTCTGTTTCTTGGTTTGCCTCTCTTCTTGTTTCCCCTTTGCTCTTTTGTTTCTTAAATTCCACCTGTGAGGGGCACCTGGGTGGCTCAGTCATGAAGCGTCTGCCTTCGGCTCAGGTCATGATCCCAGGGTCCTAACCCCGCATTGGGTTCCCTGCTCCACGGGAAGCCTGCTTCTCCCTCTCCCACTCCCCCTGCCTGTGTTCCCTCTCTCGCCGTGTCTCTCTCTCTCAAATAAATAAATAAAATCTTTAAAAAAAAAATTCCACCTGTGAGTGAGATCATCTGGTATTTGTCCTTCTCTGATGGACTTATTTCACGTAGCATAATAGTTTCTAGCTCCATCCATGTCACTGCAAAGAGAACTCCAGACTTTTTTTTTTTTACTTTTCTACTTTTTTTATTAATTTTATTTTATTATGTTAATCACCATACATTACATCATTAGTTTTTGATGTAGTATTCCGTGATTCATTGTTTGCGTATAATACCCAGTGCTCCATGCAAAACGTGCCCTCTTTAATACCCATCACCAGGCTAACCCATCCCCCCCGCCAAAACCCTCAGTTTGTTTCTCAGAGTCATAGTCTCTCATGGTTCGTCTCCCCCTCCGATTCCCCCCTTCTTTTTTCCCTTCCTACTATCTTCTTCTTTTTTTTTTTTTTAACATATAATGTATTATTTGTTTCAGAGGTACAGGTCTGTGATTCATCAGTCTTACACAGTTCACAGCGCTCACCATAGCACACACTCTCCCCAATGTCCATCACCCAGCCCCCTCATTTCTCCCACCACCCCCCCACCACTCCAGTAACCCTCAGGTTGTTTCCTGAGATTAAGAGTCTCTTATGGTTTGTCTCCTTCTCTGGTTTCATCTTGTTTCATTTTTTTCCTCCCTTCCCCTGTGATCCTCTGTCTTGTTTCTCAAACTCCTCCAATCAGTGAGATCATATGATACTTGTCTTTCTCTGATTGACTTATTTTGCTTAGCATAATACCCTCCAGTTCCTTCCATCCACGTCGTTGCAAATGGCAGGATTTCATTCCTTTTGATGGCTGCATAATATTCCATTGTATATATACACCACATCTTCTTTATCTATTCATCTGTTGATGGACATCTTGTCTCTTTCCATAGTTTGGCTATTGTGGACGTTGCTGCTATATACATTGGTGTGCACATACCCCTTTGGATCACTACATTTGTATCTTTGCGGTAAATACCCAGTAGTGCAATTGCTGGTCATACGGTAGCTCTATTTTCAGCTTTTTGAGGAACCTTCGTACTGTTTTCCAGAGTGGCTGCACCAGCTTGCATTCCCACCAACAGTGTAGGAGGGTTCCCCTTTCTCCACATGAGAACTCCAGACTTCTGTTAGTTTCAACATAATTAGTTCTGCTTTGACTACTGTAATGCTACTTAGAATGGCCAGTTTTACCATTTTGGGGAGGCTCTAAAGTTCAGATTCTTCCTGAGACGCTTTTGCTAATCTCTGGGTCCTGAAACCAGCAGCATCTCCTCATTGCATTAAGGAAGCAGTGCTGTATGGGCCAGGAAGAAGCTGGTGCAGTGAGGGAACCTTGGGCTTGGCCTCTGGAGACCTGGGATCCAGACCTGGTGCTGTCATTAACTCATCCTCTGCCTGGGGGACTTAACCTTCTTAGCTGCCGTTTTCTCCTGTTCAGAACACAGAGATCAAGTAGCTTACCTGATTGGGTTGTTTTGGAGATTTAAATAAGATTCTGTCTGGGAAATGCTTTATAATCAGCAAAGCATTGTGTGGATGTTTTTATTACTCTCAGAATATGTACCTTATTACCTAACAACTACCTCGTATACTTGAATATAAAGTGAGCCCAAATATTTGACAGTCTTCTATTTTATCAATGAGATGATTCCATAAAACCCTTTGAGGGGGTTAACTTAGATATATAAACCGTTAGGCATAGAGATAAAATTAAACACTGTGAGTGGTTTTTTGAAAATGTTATTATTTTGATTACACACACATTTTAAATCATGAAATATATTAATATTGCTTTTCACCCACTAACATAATGATTTTATTTGGTATTTAAATGCATCTTTAACATAAATATCTTCGTTGTTACTAAAGCCATTTTGTGAGTCCTGTAGCAGTTTCTCAGAGCACATCTTCACTTCTATCTAAGTTGATTGAAATACAGGTATATTTAAATTTTGTATATGATGCTTTATATTATAAGGGGTTAGCAAAGGGCCAGATAACCACCTGTTGTATAAATAAAGTTTTGTTGGAACACGGCATGCCCATTCATTAAAAATTGTCTGGGTGCTACAGTGGCAAAGTTGAGTTGTGACAGAGACTGTATGGTCCTCCAAGCTAAAAATACTTAGTATCTGGCCCTTTACAGAATAAGTTTACTGACCCATACTATATATGATACTTTCACTGGAAATTTTACCCCAAATGTGAAGACCTCACATAACTGTGGGATCTTTAAAGTGTTTACAGTGTTATCCAATGTGCGCCATGTAAGGTATTGAATTTCTTTGTCTTTCTCTTTTTTCGTGGGGGGAACCAGTTCATCAGATGATCTCTAAATATCCAAAACTATCATTGGTTGATGTCATTTTAAGCTAATCCGTCTTCTGCAAACAGTACTTTGTGTTTTTAAGGGAGTAGTTTCATAAGGACTCAAATACAAGGCAATTCACTGTTTTCTGAGCAGTTTTTAAATTTCATGATTCTGTCAGTGTTCTCATTGTATCTACAACATTGAATGCACAAAGTCCCAAATGTCAGCAGTTTAAATTTCTGTATTAGGGTGGGATTTCTACTGATCTTTCATTAGAAATTAATTAGCTAAGCTCTGGAGTTGGGAAATTTCCTTTATGGTATATACAGTTTTGTACTGTTTAAAATGTACCTATGTGTGGCTATTTTTCAATTAAAAAAAACTGGTACAATATTAAAGAAAAAAATTAATAGCAAAAGGCATCTTAGATTCTGCTCTGACCTTGGAGCAATTAGTTTTATGATTAGCATTTGATGACTTGTACAGCAAGGAAAATGTAGGACGGGAAGAGATTAAGATTAGTAGACGGGATGGAAACCTTGATCAGCTGTCAGGTTCCAGGAAATGTGATGGGCACAACATTTATTGTCCCTATTCTTGGCTTTTGAGAGGGAAATTTGGAAATATAAATCTTATTCCTGAGGTATATGTAGTAGAAAGATACACTCCATATGCTTGTAGCATAATTAAGTAGTCGTAAATATTTTTCTCTGTTGATATCCAACTATATCTTGAAGAAAATGAAAGAAAAGGAGTACGACCTGGGAATCTGGGATTTATATAAAGCTTTAACTGATTGCACTTAAGTTTAAGGGAGGCACTGCACTACATGCTCCTTTTCTTCCTTTTGTTCTGTTGAACAAAAAACTTCATGTTATTTCTAGCTTTTATTTATTTATTTTTAAGATTTTATTTATTTGAGAGAGAGAATGAGAGAGAGAGAGCACATGAGAGGGGGGAAGGTCAGAGGGAGAAGCAGACTCCCCGCTCAGCAGGGAGCCTGATGCGTGACTCGATCCCGGGACTCCAGGATCATGACCTGAGCCGAAGGCAGTCGCTTAACCAACTGAGCCACCCAGGCGCCCCTATTTCTAGCTTTTAAAAATGTGGTTAGATACTGTAAAATCAGCCGAGTTTTTGTGTTCTTAAAAAGAGAAGTGGCACAGGAAATTGGAAGGTTATTCTTATTCTCTAAAATGATAGAAACAGCCAAATTGACCTCAGAAGATAGAAATCTAAGAATGATCATTTACAAAAGAAATCACAACCATAAGCCCAGAACTAAGCCAGAATGGCTGCCCCTCCTAAAAAAAATATAAGTTCAGTAATACCTGGAACAAGAAGCCATCTTTAGCATCCCACTCTGGGTGTTGACACATTCGCTTCCTTGCCAATTTGTGTAGTACAGGATAGGTTTAACTCTCCTTTTTTATGTGAAACCATTGTGGACATTTACATTTGCCAAAGAGGCCTGGTCTTGTGAAACGAAGCATGATGGCTTTGATAATTCTCTGGAGTAAGGGGATGGGAACAAATTGTGTGCTCAGTTGTTAGATGGGTATCAAGAGAACTAGGGAAGCTGAAGATAGATACCTGCTTATTGATCAGTAGAAGTAAAATATAGGAGCTTTAGTGTTTGAAACAAAGTACCTCAGCAGCTTCCTTCCCTGGATTACAAATATGTGACTGTGTTACAGGAGAAAATGTCCACCTCAGTTCTGGTGATGGGCAGCCCAAAGATTCTGGGCCCCTTCCTCAAGTGGAAAAGAAGCTCAAATGTACAGTTGAAGGCTGTGACCGGACATTTGTGTGGCCAGCTCATTTCAAGTACCATCTCAAAACGCATAGGTGAGCATATTTGAGGTTCCATACTTGGAGCTCAAGAATGTTGATGCTTCTGGAACAGCTTGTCCCCCAGTTGACACATTAAAGGAAAGCAGGCGCTCCAGTTCACTTGTGATTAAGATGTCTTTTGTTTTTTAATAGAAGGGTTTGCATTTTCTCATTTACCTCATTCTTCACAAATACTTAGTAAGACATTTGGCACCTAAGCGTCTTAGAACAAGAGTTCTGGAATCTCATTTTAAAATGCAATTTCTTGGAAGACTTAAAAAAAATACATAAGCGTGGGTGTCACTCATAATCCTGTGAAATCACTTTTCAAGAAGTAAGGTATGGGGCACCTGGCCGGTGCAGTTGGTAGAGCATCCAACTCTTAATCTTGGGGTCGTGAGTTCAAGCCCCATGTTGGGCATAGAGATTATTTTTAAAAAAGGGGGTGGGGAGTAAGGCCTGGGGCATCTCTGGTTTTAATAAACTTCAGATGATTCTGGTATATCCAGGTTTGGGGATTACTGTCTGCTTTGAGAGGCAATAGGAGCTTTGATCTGTCCTTTCTAGCAAAGAGCATTTTCAGGTATTGTTGCTTATGTGATTTTTTTTTTCCCTCCAGAAATGACCGCTCTTTCATCTGTCCTGCAGAAGGTTGTGGGAAAAGCTTCTATGTGCTGCAGAGGCTGAAGGTGCACATGAGGACCCATAATGGGGAGAAGCCCTTTATGTGCCCCGAGTCTAGCTGTGGTAAGCAATTCACTACAGCTGGAAATCTGAAGAACCACTTGCGCATCCATACAGGTGTGTGCAACCCCAACTTTCCTGTAAGCAGTCTACCTCTGGGCTCAGGGTTTGCTCTCCTGTCCTCAGGAAAGACTCTGACGTGGGAATAGAAATGAAGGTTTAGGTTTGTTGCTAAAACTCTGAAAATGGGATTTCTTTTTTTCACATGCTTCATGTCACTTTTCAGTTAATTCACTAACATTTATTGACCTTTCACCTGTGTGTGAGGAATGGACAGTGTTGATTTCTGCCTGTAGGAGCCAAAAGTGCAGGAAGGGATATAAGACCTTCTCTGATAACAATGATATGCTGAGATATGGACAAAATCAGTATTTCCAAATATCTTCGAATGTTAGACGGTTGTAATTTTGATCAGTAATATTCATTGAATCACACAAACCATACAGAGCCTCTGCTAGCCTCTAAATGGGGTAAGGGGAGGGGGGAAATACAAAAGCTAAGATGAATCCCTGACTTTGAGGAGTTTGGTTTTTTGGTGGAGCCTCACGACCTGAGAAGCAGAATGGGAAAGTGACTTGATCTGGGTCAGATAGCATATTAATATCACGGGAACAAAATAAAGATAACCTGACTCTCATTCTAAGAGTGTAAGGGTAACTTTCCACGCCACTTGGCCTAAAATGTGCTAAGTTTCTTGTCAGAGCTTAATCACTGAACCGAGACCAGTCTTAGGATGTGTAACTGTTCTTCCCCACTTTCTTGCCACTTTCTTTGTGTCTTCTTTCTTCTTGCATTGCTAAAATGACAGCAGGTACAATTAAAGGGCATTCAAAAGTGAACCCCAAGCTGAAGCCATATTTGTTCTAGGTATGTCCCTATGATTCCTGCTAGATTGACATCACCACTGGATATGTTTTAGGGCAGAATAGCTCTGTTCTCAGCTTTTTCCTGAGAGACTAAACTATACTTTCTGCAAGAAGCACTTTGAATAAAAAAACAAGAAAAACATCTAGCAGACTAGAGAAGGGAAGAAGTAGAGCTCACCGTGCCTTAGGGTTGGATTCATTAACCTCTTCATCCCCGTGCTGCTCGTCCGCAATGTAGGTTGGATAAAACCGAACATCTTAAAATGCTTTCTTTTCCTGTGGAGTATGACCTTATTTTCTCTCCTCATTCTAGCTCCTGCTAGCTCTCCCTTGTGAATCTCCTAATTGCTCACCATTTCCAGAACTTGTCGTTTCTCCCGTTTCACTCAGTGTGTCTCTTGCCACAGTGTCAGGGTGCAGTGTAGTCATTTCCCCCTGGATGCCTCACAGATCCCAGTCGCCAGAATTCATATAATAATAAAAGTTAGCATTTATTGAGGCAATTTAGTATGTGTCACGTACATGTACATTGTCTCTTTTAATCCTCAAGGATACTTTATGAATTAGATACTGTATTTATTGGCGAGGAAATAGGGGATTAGAGAGTTAAACAACTTGCCCAATATTACACAGCTAGGAAATGGCGGAGTTGGGATTTGAATTCCGGTCAGACCCAAAAGCTCTTACAAGGATTTTGTTTTCAAATGCTGACAGCTCAGTTTATCTTAAATGTCAAAAGTGACCGCAGATCTTTATTAGTAGTGACAATGGTAATTAAAGCTACCGATTTCGGTGGCTTACCATGAGGGCTGACTATGTGCCAGACACTATGCTGAATATATTTAACTTGTGTCTCAATTCTCACAATAACCTTTTGAGATTGTATTATGTTAATTTAATTTTTTTTTTAAGATTTATTTATTTTAGAGAGAGAGCACACTTGAGCGTTGGGGAGGGGCAGAGGGAGAGAAGCAGACTCCCTGCTGAGCAGCATGGGGTGGGGGTGGGGGACCCTTGATCCCACCACTCTGAAATAATGATTTGAGCCAAAATCAAGAGTCGGATGCCCAACCCAGTGAGCCACCCAGGCACCCCGGAATTCCTCCCTTTTCTAAATACTTATAGCACTTTTCTGTGCAGGAATTTATATTAAAGTTATTTATTTATGTATTTATTTATTTATTTTTAAAGATTTATTTATTTGAGAGAGAGAGAATGAGAGAGATAGAGAGCACGAGAGGGCAGAGGGTCAGAGGGAGAAGCAGACTCCCTGCCGAGCAGGGAGCCCGATGCGGGACTTGCTCCCGGGACTCCAGGATCATGACCTGAGCCGAAGGCAGTCGCTTAACCAACTGAGCCACCCAGGCGCCCTAAAGTTATTTATGAATACATTTATCTCTCACACTAGTCTGTGACCCTCAGATAGGAATTGCCATCTCTGATTTTTTTTTTCACTTTTTATTTTGAAATAATTACAGTCTCATGAGAAGTTGTGAAAATAGCACAAAGAATTATGTTGTGTGCTTTACCCAGCTTCCCCAAAAAGTGACATCCTCTGTAGCCACAGTACGATATCAAAACCAGAAGGTTAATAGTACTATCAGGGAGTCTACAGGCCTTATTTAGTTTTTACCATACATCTTTGATTTAAAATAACAATGTAATATTGTAGGGTGCCTGGGTGGCTCAGTTGGTTAAGCGACTGCCTTCAGGCTCAGGTTGTGATCCCGGGGTCCTGGGATTGAGTCCAGCATCGGGCTTCCCTTGCCCTGTGGGGAGCCTGCTTCTCCCTCTCCCTCTGCCTGCCACTCTCCCTGCTTGTGCTCTCTCTCTGTCAAATAAATAAAATCTTAAAAACAAAAAAAACAAAAAAAAACCAGGGGTGCCTGTGTGGCTCAGTCGTTGAGCATCTGCCTTCGGCTCAGGTCATGATCCCAGGGTCCTGGGATCGAGCCCCGCATCGGGCTCCCTGCTCCACGGGAAGCCTGCTTCTCCCTCTCCCACTCTCCCTGCTTTTGTTCCCTCTCTCACTGTGTCTTTCTCTGTCAAATAAATAATTAAAATCTTAAAAAAAAAAATTAAAATAAAAAAAAACAATGTAATATCATAGACAATAAAACTTACACAGAAGCACAAAGAAGAAAGGAAATCATCCATAATAGCACTAATCAGGTTGTAACTACTTTTAGCATATTGTTACAGATTTTTCTTTGTACCTCTGACTGTATATCTGTTTTCATTTGTTTGCTTTAGACAGTGGGACTATGTAAAACCTTAAAATCTGTACTTTTTAGTGGATTTAGAAACTGAATCATAAAAAGAATTGATATAAAGTAAAAAATCCTGACAGCATATGCGATGTTAATCTTGATACCCTCAAAAGGGATGGGATCACTGAAGAAGGTGGGTCAGTGTGGCTGGGGGTCAGCCCTTGAGCCAGGAAGGAGAAGGAAGTATGATGCTCAGAGGTAGCCACTCTAAAGAAGAGGGTAGGGCTGTCTGGTGGGCTCTTGGCTAGGAGACCATTGAGAGGTGACACTTACTGGATAGATAGCCCCACTGAAACTACATAGCCCGAATTCAAGAAATCTGAGCAAGTCATTGGAAACTGGATAGGTTAATGGAAAAAGAGAGTAATAGATAGTTCATCAGAAGACTGACTCTTTATGTCATTTTCTGTCTCTAGGAGAGAAGCCTTTCCTTTGTGAAGCCCAAGGATGTGGCCGTTCCTTTGCTGAGTATTCTAGCCTGCGAAAACACTTGGTGGTTCACTCAGGTACTAGAACCCGTGCCTTTCATAGATTTCAGGGAAGGTAGAGAACCAAAAGGGTAAAAGGGTGGTGGTGGTGGGGAAATGGCATAAAGGAATCTAGAAAGAAACAAACTGTTCAACATTAAGTTTACTCCTCATGACAGAATCAGTAATCAAGGCTCTTGATAATTGGATTAAAAGGGTTGTATAATCAAGGGGGGAAAACCTAATTGCTTTATTCTCAGCTGAGCCATTGATTGAATTGCTTTCTAATCCAGAGCTTTTCTGAGGAGATCAGAAAATTTATTTGAAGAGGCTTCAGTTACATCAGATATGGGCCATTGAGGTTATTCAAAACAGAGATTGCCAAGGCAGAAGTGAACTCAGGAGTGGAGAGGGATTCTAGAATGGAATCAAGTAATTGTTCAAATGGATAGCCATGGGAAGTATAGGGAAGCCAAAACAGGAGGAGTGGAGAGAAGGAACTGGAAGTTATTTATGATGAGGACAGCAAAGCAATTCAGTGGGAGTGAGGGAGTTGGAGAGGTGTAAGCAATCAGGGATATGAATTTCAGAGTTGAGCTCTTACTTGATGACAAGTTCTAAGCAGAAGGTGACAAGCTGTTAACCTGTGGGTTAGATGTGGACTTCCAGGTATGTTTTGCTTGGCTTGTAGAGTGTTTTTATTTTATCTTAACTTAATTTTATTATATAAAATTATGTCAAACATACATAAGAGTAGAGAAAACAAAGACATTTTCTTACATAACAACAATACTGTTATCATACCTTTCAGAATTAACAATTCCTTAGTTTTATCTCATACCCAGTGCATGTTTCGTTTTTTTGCAGTTGTCTCAAAAATGTCTTTTACAATGGGTTTGTTTAAATCAGGATTCAATAAGGTTTAATTATTGTACTTAGTTTAATTATTATACTTAGTAAGTCTTCTTTAATCTAAATCTGCCTATACTGACTTTTTTTTTTCATGCCATAGACTTATTGCAGTACAGTTAGTTGGGTTTTATGGAATGTCCCACATTCTGGATTTGTTGGTTTGCTTCCTTTTATGTTATTTAACTTGTTCCCCTAGATTTCCTATAAATGGAAGTAAGCCCTAAAAGCTTCAAAGGTTCAAAGATTTGGCAAGGATGTGTTATAAATGGTTGTATGTGTTTCATTTTGTATCATCATATCAGGAGGCACACAGTGCTTGGTTGTCAGAATTTATCAGTGGGTTCAGGTGGTAACACCCTGATCTTCACATTGTAAAGTTCCCTAGCAACTTTTGCCGTATGGTTTCATGAGTGATGCCTGAATTGGTTATTTCATTAGGATTGTAAAATGGTGGTTTTCTAATTCTATCATTCTGTTCACAACAGTTGGAATTCTAATGTGTATAATAAGTGTCTTCTCTATCCAGTAGGGCTGTTTGGTAATTTGCATAGGAAAGGCAGGAAAAATGTGTGTTCCTTTTATTTTCATTTCTTTTAATTATGAATTTTCAAAATAAGAAATTGGTGCTCTTGCTTCTTCTAGTAAATTCATGGGTTTCTCTGTAGTCACTGTATCAATCCATTGTAGTTCTCTTTGAACACCTTTTTTGATGTATAATGCGCATACCTTAAAGTTCATCCATTGTAAGCATGCAAATCAGTGATAGAAAATATATAGAATTGTACAGTCATCACCACAGTCCAGTTTTAGAACACTTCTGTCATACCAGAAAGTTCTTTTATGCCCCCTGGTTGTCAGTTCCTGCTCCCACCCCCAGATCCAGGCAACTACTGGTCAGCTTTCTGTCTCTATAGATTTTCCTTTTCTGGAAATTTTCTGGCCACTTCACTTACTTTGGCCACCTACTAATCTCCTATAGGCATGTGTTTCTGACCCCAGCTCTAAGTGTCATTGTCTGAGTAGATGGAAGAGTGACTGAGAGCTTTGGACTTGAGGACACGGAGGAGAGTTCACATCACAGTGTAGAAGAACCACCGGTGTACACGCTGACGGCTGTGAGAGTGGTGGCAGAAGTGGGATAAGGGGGTATTCTGAACCCAGGGTTGGAATCCTTGAGGATGGTACATGTTCTGGAGCTCCATGGAATACTGTATCTGGAAAGGGAAGGAAATGTTCTGGGTGGCTGCCATGATCTGATATCAAAGAGGTTGGGAAGGCAGCAGTACAGTAGGTACTGTAAGGATAGGAGTCGGGAGCAGTGAGCATGCTAAGCCCTGCTGGTGAACTCTTCCTGCCTTCCCTGGTGTATGAAGGTTTTGAGGCTGGGGACCGCCAAGGCTGGGTGGAGAATGGGAGAAGGAAAAGCCTCTTCTGTTTAGTTTAACAGTCTCTGAACTTCTCTGTCCAGGTCTTGAGTCCATTCTCTTGATGTCAGAAATGTACCCTATTTTTTTTTGGCTACCCTGTCTTAACCTGCTCTCTCTTTCAGGAGAGAAGCCTCATCAGTGTCAAGTCTGTGGGAAGACCTTCTCTCAGAGTGGGAGTAGGAATGTGCACATGAGAAAGCATCATTTGCAGCTGGGAGCAGCTGGGAGTCAAGAGCAGGAGCAAACTGGTGAGGAGAGAAGGTGGAGTGGAGGGCTGTATCTTCTGGGTTCAAAAAGCCAAATAACTGGCCTATCTGGTTATTTGGAAATTTTCAGATTCTGTGTTAGGGAGAGAGACCTAGTCTCATTTGATGGACTAGTGGTTTCCAAATATAGCTCTACAGTAAAATCTGTAAGCTTTTAAAATGTATATATTTGTATTGCCATCCACCCCTCACCCCCAAATAAAACAAGACAGTTCAGACTGATAACTGAAATTACTTGGGAGTAAGATCCCAGAATCTGTAGTTTTGGTTTCTATAGTGAGTTTAATGGTAACTAGTGCTGATCCATGAACCAGCATTTAAGTATTACTGTAATAAAGTGTTCTATAAGACAAGGGTTTAAACATTTTTTACATAACATTCATTATTCCCTTTTTACCCTAACTTAAATTTGATAACTCGTTTTTATTTTTTTTCCATGTATTTAATCAATTATTTCATTCCATATACTCCTTTCCAAGGATGCATCCATCCCATTTCATATATTAATTCTCCACATGCTGATCGCAGGCAAGGATGTTTATCTATGAGGCTCCACCCTTCCCTTCTAGGTTTATTCTTGTTCCCCAAAAGTAGATAGCATCCACGATACAGGTTAACTTCCAGTTCTGAAAGGAAAGGCCAGCTTCCTGTGAAGGAAAATGGGGACCAGGCACAGCCTTGCCTGCAGCATGTCTCTCACATCCTGTTCTCTGTGCAGCTGAGCCACTAATGGGCAGTAGTTTGCTTGAAGAGGCTTCAGTAACCAGTAAAAACCTGGTGCCTATGAATTCCCAGCCCAGCCTTGGTGGAGAGTCCTTGAACCTACCAAATACCAATTCTATCCTAGGAGTTGATGATGGTAAGACTTTCAACTCTCCTTTATTTGGGGGAAAATGGGCTGCAACTAGGGACTAAGGAATGGGGTTGTCTCCAGAATGAAGGTTTTAATTAATTTCATTTCTCGTGAGTGGCTGTGGTATGATTGCGTAGCATTTGTGTTCTTTGTCTCTGGGATGGATAAGTGAATCTGTTAAAAAAATATTTTTTTTATTGAACAGATGATGTAACAAAAGAATAAAGAGAAAAAAATTTAAGAAGAAAATTATCCATAATCTTAGCATCCTAGCCCAACTATTTCTATCTTTCCTATTGCAGTTATGGAAGAACTTAACTTTTAAAACATTTAAACAGAACATAACCAGGTTTTACAGAGGAGATATAAAGCAATTTCTCCATACCTTCAAAAGCCATATCTTCTGGAGAAAAGAAAGGGCTCTCTAGGAAACAGTTGCTCCTCTCTGGTATAGAAATTTCACCCAAGTTACACAGGCCAGGCCCTCTTCTCTGAAAAACTTAACAGGTGAGGTCAGCATGCATTTATTCAGTGCCTACTGTGTGCCTGGCACCATGTGAAAGATAAAAGTAGAAACGAGGGACCTTAAAATCTAGTTGAGAAGTCAAAACTTACGTATGGGAAACAACATTGAGTGAATAGAAGATAGTATGTAAGTAAATGCTAAATTACACAGTACAGTCTGGAAGAGCAGTATATATTGAAAGCCCCGTAGAAGAAACTTTGATTTATTAGAGGCCTAAGTAGTTTGTGTATAAACTATTTCCAGAAGATTTTTACAGTGATCCCACTGAATAAGTTCGAGATCCTGTGTTTTAGTTACTCGTATCCCACTCAGTCAGTTTTGTGTATAAGTGACCATGTTTGTGTAAACTTCCGTGCGGAGCCTACACGGCCCAGCATGCTTCCACAACAAGCCTACTTGGTTTTGTAATATGATACTAGTGCATAGTTGAAGCGTGGGACACAGAAATTGCATGGAACTACTTTGCCATTCTTAAGGAAGAAAGTCTCAAGGGAGGAAGGGACACTGAATAGGAATTTTGAAGCCGGATTTAAGTTCTTAACTTCTGCATAGTATGCTGTTTATGTCGTTGGTGGCTGCTTTAAGGGTAGGCTGTGGTCCCAGGATCTGCCTGCCTCGGCAGCTTTTGCCCTGTTTCATGCATGGCTAATCCAGCTAACAGTGCTAAAGCCATACTACTCAAAATTGGTATACTGAAAAATGGTCAACTCTTATATATCATGTCTTCCCATCCCCCTTTTGTAATACTTTCCAAATTCACTGGTAATGATGATTATTATCAGACAGGAATTAATTTGGAAGGAATACAGGAATATGGGTTTTTCAGGTTGGGAGAGGCTTGATAATGCAGGTGGGTATATCTGTAGATTCATTTTTCGTTGAAACATTCTCTGCTGTTTCAGAGGTGCTTGCTGAAGGATCCCCACGTCCCCTGTCTTCAGTGCCTGATGTGACACATCACTTGGTGACCATGCAGTCAGGGAGGCAGTCATATGAGGTTTCTGTCTTAACTGCCGTAAATCCACAGGAGGTAAATCTATCTCTTGCCTTTACTTTGTTTCTGTGGAGACTAACGTGGACAGTGGTTGGGAATCTAATTTAGATGATCTGAAAATTACTCCAGTTTCCCTTTCCTGGAAACTTTCTCTAGAATATCTTCCTTTAAGCCAAGCATGAATCCAGCTTAACCTAAGCTTGATTGTTAGGGTCTCCTGGATTGGGAGATTGGTCACTCACGACTGGGTCTCTCAGCTTTAATTTCCTTTATATACATACCTTACTGAATGATATCTGCTCCTACTGTTCTCTATGACATGAGGGTGCTGCTTTTATTTTATAAAGAAAATATCCTGGACAGAGTGGTCCTTGAGCAAAAAAGACAGTGACAAAATCATGGAAAATAATCATTGTTCATTTTATTAGGATCATATGTCTGGGAGATACCAGGCTGAACCAACTGGGCCTTTAGGGACGTGTTCACTCGCTTGTGGAATGAGAACCATCATCTAAATCGGGGAGAGGTTTCAGATTGCTTCTAAGATTCCCAACTCTACAATCTTAGCTCTAACCCAGAAAACAGAATGAAAACCAGTCAGGCTTCTAGAATCTTAGGGTATAGTAGATGACTCCATCATGAGCTCATTTCATATGCATAAACTTTTGCCAAAACCCAGTATCTTGGATGCCTTTGTATTATAGTAACTCTTACAGTGTTCTGCCGTCTTTCCCGCTGACCTTTTCATTAGAACCTGATACCACAAAATCAGCTGTTCCAGTATTCAGGTGACTGCATCCTATATTAAATATTCCGGATTATTCTGTAAGATTCCTGGGGATGCCCAAGATCACAGGGCTCTGGACATGCATGTTAATGATTCTGCCAGAACCTTTCCTTATATTCATCATTGTGACCCATTGTCTGAGTCTTGCTTATATTATATTGAAAGTTTTTGTGCTATTGATTCTGTTGGTTCTTTGCTAAGCCACCTTCTCCTGGCTACTGTTTTGGAACATATCTCACCTATGAAGACTTCATTATTTCCCCTCTTCATTTATGTATTTTAAAATTTTTATTATGAGAGTTTTCAAAGAGTGTAGTGAGAGAAAGTATAGTATAATGAACTCATGTACCTATCCCCCCAACTTCGACAGTTAAGTTTCTGCTATTATCTCTTCCTGCCTACTTCTTACTGTTGCTGTTCTGTTTGTGCTGGAGTGTTTAAAAGCACATCACAGACGTACCATTTTATTGTAGATATTTCAGCACATGCCTCTAACAGGTAAGTACTTTTTCATAGCTCTCATGTCTTCATCATACCCAACAGAATTAACAATCATTTATTGATATCCTCGAATACTTAGTCTGTGTTCCTTTTTATTTTTTCTCAAAATGTCTTTTAATGGTTGGTTGGTTTAAATTAGGATTCAAACAAGGCCCATGCACTGCATTTGGTTAATAATTCTCTTTATCTCTAATAGTCTTCCCCACCCTCCACTCCCTACCCCGTTTTTTTCAGAATGACTTAACTATTTAATAAGAATTTCCCACGTTCTGGTTTTGGCTGATTGACTCCTTTTGTTGTTTAATATATTTTTCTATCTACAGATTTCCTAAAAACTGGTAGTTAGGAGCTTAGATTCATGTTTGGTTTTTTCCCCTTGGCAAGAATATTCTATAGGTGGTACTCTTCCTGTTACAGCTCACAGCAGACATGATGTTTAGTTGTTCTCCTCTTTTTTTTTTTTTTAAAGATTTTATTTATTTATTTAACTGACAGAGAGAGAGACAGCGAGAGAGAGAACACAAGGAGGGGGAGTGGGAGAGGGAGAAGCAGGCTTCCCGCTGAGCAGGGAGCCTGATGCGGGGCTCGATCCCAGGACCCTGGGATCATGACCTGAGCCGAAGGCAGTCGCTTAACCAACTGAGCCACCCAGATGCCCCTGGTTGTTCTCCTCTTACTGAGCTTAATGATTGACCAATGGGTTACATAAAAATTTTGGCAAATGTTACTGGTCATGGCCTAGATCAGTTTTTTTTATTAAGGCTTGCAAAATGGTGATATCCTAATTCCCTTTTTCTTTCTGCTTTTATGAACTGTGATTCTTCTATGAAAGAAATACTTCTCTCATCAACTATTGGATTGCTCTAAAATAGTTCAGAAAAATCATCTCCTTTTTTATCTAGTGGAAATTATTATCCTGACAAACCAATCCACAGCACTCAGGGTTTTCCTTTTTTATATTTGAAACCTTGGAGCTTTTCTCTCCTGCTAAATACCTTTTTTTATTGAAGCGTTTCAGGTTTTCTCAAACAAATGCCAGATGTATTAAAACATAGTCAACAGGTACTTCATACCTAATGAAGTGCAAGGCCCTCTGTTGGGTACTAAACAACAGTAAACAAAGTACAGCCTCTGCCCCAAAGAGCCTAGTCAGACTTCGGACCTCTGCCTTTTATAACTGCAAAATGGTGCCCCTGGAATTGTGCTGTACAAGAGAGAATGGGAAGGGTGGCAGGTCAATAAGTGGGGCAATTTTTTATATAGTGTAGGAAGTACTAGTTAGGGGGAAGTCAGGGAGTAAGTTTTAGAGTTTAAGTTGAGACCTGAGGGCTGAATAGCAGTGATCTTGATGGATAAGTGGGAGGGATTGGAAGAAAATAACAGGCAGCAATGTGTACAAGGGCAGAGGTGAGGGAGCAGGGCACAACTATGGAACCACAAAGGGTTGAGTAAGATGGAATGTGGAATGGAAAGTGAGAGCAGGAAGGATAAGCTGGTTTCTCTCTTGAAGGGCCTTCACTTCAAGGACATGATTTTATCCTGGGGACAGTGGAGAGCCACTGCAGGGTATTAAGCCAGGTATGACATGGTCAGATTTGTGTGTGCAAAAAGTCCGGTAATAGCACATTTGTTCCCCTCGGACCTAGGCACGTGGGTCTTGGATTCAGGGTGTCCTTGTCTGAGCGATGCTTACTCACAGCCTCAGACAGACACAATACCCCAGACCACCTTTAAGAAACAAAAGAAAACTTGGCCTTCACCTCAGGAGGACACTAAGGGCGAACAGGCCCTAAGCACCCAATTTCATGATGGAAGCCCAAGATACTTCATAGAAGAATATTAACAACACAAAGGGGAAAGTGCTGCCCTTAGTGTAGCTGAACATCCTAGATGATTACTTTTCCCTCATGGGTCATCGCATATTTAACAAACACACCCTCTGTCTGAACCTCACTTCTGTGTTTCCTTCACTGTTACCTCTATTATTTTCCTCTTATCACAGGCATTTCCACTGCTCATCCCTCCTTTTCCTTATCACGGCAGACTTACCACATCCTCTGATACTGTCATTTTTTAAACCTACAAGCCCCTCAAGGCTCCAGGTTTAGTCCTCTTCCTCATCTAAGCTCCTGGTACTAACTGACCTTCCTCCAGTGATTGAGGGATGTTGATTCCTTAGGGATTCGCAGATAGAAGAAGGCTATTTGCAATCCTTTTTTTTTTTTAAACAAGATTTTATTTATTTGAGAGGGAGTCAGAGAGCAAGTGGAGGGGCAAAGTGAGAGAGGGTCTTACCAGACTCTTAGCTGAGCTCGGAGACCAATGAGGGGCTTGATCTCACAACCCTGAGATCATGACCTCAGCCAAGACCAAGAGTAGGACGCTTAACCGACAGAGCCACCCAGACATCCCAGCTATTTGCAGTTTGTAAATCAACACATGTTCATTTCAAATTCTGGTGCAGGACTTGATCCCAGGACCCTGAGATCATGACCTGAGCCAAAGGCAGACACTTAACCATCTGAGCCACCCAGGCGCCCTATCAAAACTACATCTTATTCCGATGGTTCAGACTGGACAATTTTTATTTTGCCCTCAGTGTTACCCAGTCTCCTGCAAATCAGAGGACTCATTGTGCCGGCCCACCTGGGACCCCAGGGCTTTCGGACCTTTGCTGACTAAAAGGCATCCCAAGTGGGGTTCTGTAGTCACATTGAGCTCACATTCTTGAACTCAGGAGGCAATGTAGATGATTGCCAGCTAGCCTTGAATATATCAGAATTTGTCCCAAAAAGGAGGAAAACAAATTAAAATTCTTTAAGATTTCTCATAAAGTGCCATTGCTAAATTTGAGTGCAAACATCTGGATCTTGACCTAGATTAAAAAGACACCACTCTTACATCCCCACCACATAGCATCAAATGAAATTTGTGGTTTAAATTTTTCTTTAAATTTTGTTTAAATTTGTTCATATTCCATCCTATTCTACTGTATAAAGTACTTTCATCCAAATCGAGATCACCAGGTAAATCTATCTTCAGCCCAAGAATTTATCTGGTTATATTTTACTAAGTCAAATTTTTATTCTGAATTTCACTGTTATTTCCGTCTCATTCTCATAATAAAACGGAACCCAAGTTCATCGGTTATTGTACAGAACTGCCTTTCAACAGAAAGCCTGGAGTGTAGAGCAGAAAGTCTGTTTTAGCTGCCGCCCTCTTGGAGTCTCAGGCTTGTCTCCATCCTAGGAGAGGTACCCTTCTAAGCCCTGGGCATTGCTGGATCCCTTATGAGTGGTTTCTAGCTCTCATAGAACTCATTGGGAATAGCTTCCCATTCCTCTTACTTCTCCTTGAGCGTTCTGCCTGTACTTTGGACCAAACACTGACTGACGTAAGATTTTTTGTTCTACCATTTCTGACGTATCTGTAAGTTATGGATGCCTCCATCACTGACTAGTGAGTGCGTGACTACACAAACAATAGTTTGGCTTATGGACTCAGGATCTTTCATTGCCGTAGTGAACATGCCAGCATCATGAAGTGGCCAGAATGCTATCCCAAGGCCAGGATATGAAAGAGATCTATCAGTCTATGTGGTCTCTTGCTTTGGAGCCTAGGTATCCTTGACTCACCTCGGCTGTGCATTCCCCACTTCCACTCATAAACCTTTTCCTTAGTACGAATTATTTTTCTGGTATTCATTGGTAGCCTTTATTCCAGATTTGGTTTTCATCTTTTACAGTTACTAAACCAAGGAGAATTAACTGAAAGCCGGACATGAGCACGGGCACCGATGCCTGGAAGAGCAGTTCTGTCTGATCCCAGAGTGCACGTAGTGGGAACAGGATGCTTCTGGCTCATGGTCTGCCAGAACCAAAATCAATCTGTGAAGGACAGGACCCCACGTCTGCCTCTGTTCATCTTTCCTGACATAGAAGATGAATGTGGGAGAGCTTCTCTTCAAACCACACCTGATCCAGACAAGAAAGCAGTGAATGTGGGCTGGGTAACTGTACCTACCTCTCTTCCCACTACAAAATTTTGGGAAGGACTTCTCCCAAAAGGGAATTGGATTATGTGTTGGCTGAAATTTCTTCAGTATGACTGTTGAGATGGGATTTTCCTCTGAAGAATTTTCATACCCAACTCAGCTGTCTTTTCACACGGATGAACTAAGTCCTGCCACCAACCATAAAACTTCACCAAGAAGTTGCGCTTTCGAGATGCCTTGTTGCTTTGGAGAAGGGAGTGATGTCAGTTCTGTTGTGGCATTATCCCTTTAGCAACCTGAGTAAGAGACTCTCTGCCACTGGGCTGCAAAAAAATAAATTACTTGAATCCCTACTTGGCCCGGGCTGAGGTACTATCTTGTCATATCCACTTCTACTTGGTCAGTTTGCTTTCTTTGTTTATGGAATATACAGTAGCATGTTAAAAGGTTTTTTGTTTTTTTAAAGTTAAATATCACATGATTCAGAGCTTCAGTTGTTTTCCCTTTAAATAAACAAGACAGCCCAGTCAGTTCTTTGGTTCCTTGTTTTGGACAAAACCTGTTTACTTAGAGAGGAGATTAAGAAAATAGTTCAGGCTTTCCCTTTAAGAGAGGACACTGATTTACCCTTTGGATACCATGCAGGTAAAACTGAGCCCAGGAGTCTTGGGGAACAGGACATGACCATCTTCATCTCTAACTAGCAAACCTAGATAGTAGTTATCATAGTACCGCTCTGTCATCACCAGAAGGGACCATGTCTGAGTCTGGAAAAATGGCAATAATAGATACTTTTGAATTTTTCCAGAAAGTTAAAAAAAAAACAAAAAGATGAGAAATGTGCTTCTGTTAAGAGTAGGCACTCTTGCTATCATCCTGTCTCTACAGCTGTTAGAGAATATTTAATTAATCATTGGTGAGAAGAAGAGTGTTCCAGAGATCACTTACTAGTAGAAAATCATGGCTGTCAGAGAATTTTCACTTTATTTAAAATGAACCTCATGCTGACACATACATACCATGCACACAGTGGTGTATTCTAAGCAGATAACAGGAAAGAATTAACTGCTGTAATAAATAAATACAGTTCTTAATTGTTAATGACATGCATAATCATCCTTTGCTATGTAGATTGAGTTCATGTCAATTTCTTGTATTCTTAATTTGCCAGTTTTTACTTCCTGTAGCCTTACTTTTATACTATAGCATGGTTCTTAATTGGCAACATTTTTGCCTGCCCCCTGCCCTACATGTGGCAATATCTAGAGGCATTTTCGTTCGGCACAACTGGGGAGAGGGAGTTACTGGCATCTAGCAAGTAGAAGTCAGGGATGCTGCTACACATCCCAGAATGTACAGGACAGCTCCCTCTCCCAACACCCAACACAGACTCATCTGGCTCAAAATGTTGATATACTGAGGTTGGGAGACCCTGTACTAGAAGCTGCAAGCTTGTCATCCTGCAGGTGTTTTGTTACTCCCACACGATATTTTTTTTTAATTAATTTTTTTTTGATGTAGTGTTCCATGAGTCATTGCATCTAACACCCAGTGCTCCATGCAGAACGTGCCCTTCTAAATACCCATCACCAGGCTGACCCATCCCCCCACCCCCTCCCCTCTAGAACCCTGTTTCTCAGAGTCCACAGTCTCTCATGGTTCGTCTCCCCCTCCGACATCCCCCCTTTCATTTTTCCCTTCCTACCCCACACAGTATTTCTTAATAATTTTTAAATTAGTTGCCAACATGCAAATTTCTGGCTTCTGTTGAGAGCTCGCTTGATCTGGCGGTTCTGGGCCTGTGTTCTAGCAGAGACTGTAGTCTACTGTCTCCTGTCATACCCAGCCCATGTGATCTGTCTCCTAACTAGCCTCTCGTAGGCATTTGGGCTTGTGCCCTTTTTTTTAAAGTAGGAGGCACAAAGCAAGAATGCTTAGCTCTGATCCCTCTGCCCTGAGGTTGTTCACTTTGATTTACTTAAACCATTCATTCCCTATTTGTCATCTGCTTTTTTTCCCCCTGCTACTTCTCTTTTCCCCATTCTCCAAGAGTAGCCATTGACTCAGAAGCCAAGTTTTGCCTGCCTTGACTCAACCCCAAGTTAGCTGGTTAATACTGAAAAGCAGTAATTTTAAGTGCTACTGATTAAGCAAGTGATTTGAAATTAGCAATTCATAAGACAGCTCTTCCAGTTCTTTCTTGGGGCTTGTAGGCTGCTGTAGAGATTCTTCTAAATCCTGCTGTGGATTTCTGGTGCTGAGTTTTGTAGTTTCATGGGTGCTACAGAATAAATTAAAGCATTATGAAATAAAATGTCTTTAATTAAAGCATTATGTAAGGCTTAAGGATGGTTTCAACATTTTCATTATTTTATATGGGGTGTAAAGGGAAATTTCTAGGGGAAACTGGGATAGGAATTAGGGGAGGGGCCATTAGGATTTAAGAAACAAAAGTTGAGAGTAATGGCGATACTATGCTTTTCTCCCCTTCACTTACATGATACCAATGGCGGGGTGCTGCCATTGGAGTTACGTTTTTAATGAGTGCTAGATTTTATTTTTTTTTTAATTTTTATTTTTTTAAAAGATTTTATTTATTTATTTGACAGAGAGAGACACAGCGAGAGAGGGAACACAAGCAGGGGGAGTGGGAGAGGGAGAAGCAGGCTCCCGCGGAGCAGGGAGCCCGATGCGGGGCTCGATCCCAGGACCCTGGGATCATGACCCGAGCCGAAGGCAGACGCCTAATGACTGAGCCACCCAGGCGCACCATGAGTGCTAGATTTTAACAAGCCATGGTGACCATGCTGAGGGGAAAAGAAAGGCTTTGATTGTTCAGGATAGTATAGCTTTTATTGTGGCTCTGTATAGGTTTTTACCTACAGTTATCCAAACAAAAAGTGCTAGAAAAATAGTTTTATCATTTTATAGTAAGTAAAAACATACATTGGGGCACCCTTATACCCACAGACACACATACGTTTGTTCTTCAAAAGTGAAGTGGAAATACTTTTGATTGATGGCCCTGGAACTAGAATTGGAAAAATGATCTGTTTCAAAGTGAAGGAATCTACACCTCATATAGTTATATTTTATTCACAACTGCACTATCCTCCCATTTTAAATGTGTTATGTGGAGATCTCTGGGTTAGTATTTTGTACATACAGGATTGTGATCTCAAAATATACAAGCGGTGGCATTACGAGGGATGGCAGTTTGAGAGCTGCAGGATAACAAGGAGCATCTGAGATTACCTGGGACAATCACGGACTTCTGACTGCTCCCGCCATTGTACAACCCGGCTGCCCTGACCCTTGTTCCTCACAAAGTCTTCATCCAGCCCAGCCTGCTTCAGGGTGTCTCGATACCGTTGTTCTGCGGCTCTCCTGGCAAGGTCCTGTGGGATGGAAATTAATCTGCTGGAGCTGTCTTATGAATTACCAGGTAATTCTAAATCACTTGCTTCATCTGTATGCCTAAAATTGCCCCCCTACCCCAACCCCCCATTAATGCTGGGCACCGATGTGCATGAAAATTTCTTAGAGCCTTTTCAAGCCTTAAAGTGCACAGGAACTACCTGAAGATCTTGTTATTAATGTAAATTCTCATTCGGTAGGTCTCAGATAAGGCTCACAATTCTGTACATCTAACACTCCCAGGAGATGCCAACTGTTGATTTGAGAGGCACACCTTTTAGAAGCAAGGATTTAGATTTTTGGAAGACCAAGTGAGACTCAGATGAAAAAATGGACTTAAAAACATTTTAAGATTTAAAAACAACCAGGGGCACCTGAGTGGCGCAGTCGGTTAAGTGTTCAACTCTTGGTTTTGGCTCAGGTCATGATCTCAGGGTTCCGGGACTGAGCCCCGGGAGTCCGGCTGCACGCTCAGTGCAGAGTCAACTGAGATTCTCTCTCCCTCTGCCCCTTCTGCTTGTGTTCTCTCTCTAGAGTAAATAAATATCTTAAAGAAAAAAATTTTATTTATTTATTTATTTATTTATTTACCTATCTATCTATCTGTCAGAAAGAGCGTGCACAAGCAGGGGGAGCGGCAGGCAGAGGGAGAAGTGGGCTCCCGACAGAGC